ACTCCCTCTTGAGATGGTTTGTCGAATTAGACGACGCCATAAGGGCGCGTCGCATCGACGACGGGGATACGCAAGTTGCATTTGCCCAGTCAAATCTGGCAGGACGTGCCAAGACTTGGGCACTGGGGCTCAAGTTGCACGACCCATATGCGTTTGGGTCGTTGAAAGTCTTCAAGTCGCGGCTCAGACAAACGTTTGAACCGCCTAGAGCTGAGTTCAGAGCTCGAACCGAACTCTTGAAGCTCAAGCAGGGTAAGCGTGATGCACACGCTTACGCTCAACACATACGACGTCTCACGAGTTGTATAAGTTCCAATCCGGTGGATGAACACACGTTGGTTTCGGTGTTCATGCAGGGTCTTGCGGATGGTCCCGTCAAGACTCACCTGTTCCGGCTTGAACTAGATTCACTAGAACAAGCCATTTCAATTGCGGAGCAGGAAGACTTCAGTCTGAGACAGGCTCGCGCCAGCTCGACATCATATCGTCAACCGAGACGATATGACAACGGAGGTCCAGAGCCGATGGAACTCTGTTATGTAGAGAGCGAGAAGGATCGCTCTACAGGCTACAAGAAGTTGCAGAGATGCAACAGATGTCAAAAGACAGGACACTACGCTTACGAGTTTAGTGCCCCTCGTCCAGTGTCTCGCGACACTGGGCGTAGTGACCGTCCACCCATGAGAAAGGGGCAGGGACGAGGGTCCGCAGTTGGTGCAAAGACGCAACAACGGGATGGACCGTCAAAAAACGGACAGGATCAGTAGGTGCGGAGCACCCTACTGATCCAGCAACGTCAAGAGAATTTGTAGGCCTCTTGATGAAGGTTGCTCCCAACACACAGACATTGTGCGTTGCTGCTCTAGGTAATGAGATCTCACTCATTACCTTGAAACTCGAAGTGACGAATAAGTTGTCCCTTCGAGCTCTAGTCGATTGTGGGGCGTCCAACAATTTTGTGCGACGCCAATCGCTAGAAGATGGTCACTTTAAATTCAGTGAATGTGACACACCTCCTACGAGGATGACGGTACGTCTTGCGACAGGCGCATCCGTAACCGTCATGAAGCGTATAGTGAAGATTCACTATACGCTAGAAGATACCCAATACGACGATGACTTTATCGTATTGGATTTGGATGACAAATTTGATGTCATCCTTGGAATACCGTGGCTCAGAAGGTACGAACCACGGGTAAACTGGCAACATCGGACAGTAACGATGCCTGCCGCTTGTTCATCAGATGGCCATCTGATGAACGTTTTGGAAGCGTCCACAAGCGTGTGGATGTACTACGAGTGAGTGCGATGGCCTCACTTGTGGTACGGTCGTTAGTACGACTGCACAAAACCTTAGTGTACCAAACGGTTACACTTCGGAGCAAAGTTCCGGCGGCTGTGAGGAAACACAGGCTGCGCCGAAGGTCCACCACTCGAATAAGTCGGGTGGACTGGGACAAAGATGTATCCCTAGAGGGGAACATCTAGAAGAGAAACAATCGATCGCTCAGGTTAAGCGAAACGATAATCCTAGATCGACTGGAGAGTCTTTCGTAGAGGATCTCGCTGTGGTTGCGCAACCCCAGCTAGAGGAAGTAAAGGGAATAAGTCCCAAGATTACAAATACGGCGGAAATAAGTTCCCCGAAACCCGCGGGAATAAGTCCCCGGGAAGCCGAAGGAATAAGTCCTTCGAAGCCTGAGGGAATAAGTCCCCAGGAAATGACAGAGACATTGAATGTCATAGTCAATAACGGATCAAGTGTAGGCGCTTATACACTTGATCTGATTGCGCCTCCGAAGTTAACTTCGGAGATCACTCAGTTGCCAACGCTCGAACACAAAAGGTTCTTGCGTGATCTGCGTAGTGGCAAAGTCAAGCAGATCTGCATACTCGTCGCTGACGACGAGTATGTAACCGACATAAGGTCAGCAACAGTGTTTACTGAGAACGAGAGAGTTCTCAGTAGTTCATCTATGGACGAGAGTGCCCTAGATGAAAAGACACGAATTGAGCGATATGAGTCCCAATCATGGGAATCGCTCAAGGAAAATCCTCTCTATGAAGATTTGGTTGAATTCAAGGATGTATTCCCTGAAACTGTTCCGTGCGAATTACCGAAGGATAAAGGTATTCGACACGAAGTCGAGCTTAAACCAGGCTCGAAGTACTGTGTCATGAAGCAGTGGCCACTGCCTCGTGAACAAGTACTTGCGATCGACAAGTTCTTTGCCGATCGTTTAGCAGCGGGCCATGTGAGGGAATCAACTTCCCCACATAGCTCTCCGACCTTCTGTGTGCGAAAAGCAACAGGAGGGTGGCGGATAGTGCACGCGTTTAACAAATTGAACGCTGCAACGGTACCGGCTCAGACGCCGATACCGAGGAAGGACGTAATCATTGATGGTATGTCAAAGAGTACCATCTTTTCGTCCATGGATTTGATGGATGGCTTCTATCAAATCCTAATGCGGGAACGGGATATACCCTATACCGCAGTTAGCACGCCTAGCGGCATGCTCTGGGAATGGCTAGTAATGCCACAAGGGCTCAGTAATGCCCCTGCCACGTTCAACAGGTGTGTATCACATCTGTTTAGGCCAGTACGAGAATTCGCGCCGAGTTATTTCGATGACGTATTCATCCATAGTCGAGCTATGGATGGAAAGTCGGACGTTGAGGTTCACAAGTACCACGTCCGACAAGTTCTTACAATCATGCGAAAGCATCAATTGTATGCAAACCTCAAGAAGTGTATATTTGCAGCAAGCGAAATACCACTTCTTGGGTGCATCGTTGGTAAGAACGGTGTACGTCCTGATCCCGAAAAGATCAAGGCGATCACCGACTGGCCCGTGCCGGTCGATGTCAAAGGTCTTCGAAAATTCCTTGGGCTAGCGGCGTATTTGCATAAGTATTCACGCAATTACGCCGAGATGACTGTACACCTCTCTCGTTTGTTGAAAAGAACGAGAGGTGGTTATGGAACGCTGAATGTCAACGCTCCTTTGAGGGTATCAAGCAGAGCTTGATACAATCCCCAGTCCTAGCAATAGCCGATCAGGACAGGCCATTTCATGTGGTCTGTGATGCCAGCGATTTCGCAATCGGCTGTGCATTAATGCAGTACGACCTTGAAGGCGTTGAACGCGTCGTCTGCTATCAGTCGCGTCAGCTGCAACCAGCTGAGCGGAACTATCCAGTGCATGACAAGGAACTCCTTGCCATGAAGTATGCACTCGCGAAGTTCAGAGTCTATCTATTAGGAGATAGACCCTTCGTTGTTTACACTGACCATGCGTCCTTACGCACGGCAGTGAACAGCCCACACCTTTCACAACGAATGGCGCGGTGGTTGTCATTCTTTGCAGAATACAACTTTACGGTCGAGTACAAACCAGGACGACTTAATGTCGTCGCTGATGCACTCTCACGTCGTCCCGACTTTGAAACAGTCGCGAAACCCAACAGTGAGACAGTCACTGTTGCGGTTATGACGTCCTCAGTTCCATCTACAACGTTGTATGATGATGTGAGGCGGGCATACGCCCAAGATGGTGAGATAGTGAAGTTGTTGTCACATCTCTCCCAACCATCTCGAGAATCGTTGAAACGATTGTCGTCTGCGTATCGATCTGCATCAGATCGATACACTACTCGTAACGGTTTACTGTATTATACAGCCGTTTCTGGTGACACACCACGTGTTGTCATTCCAGATGATACTGATCTGCGTTTGCGGATCATGTTCGAGTATCACGATGCTCCTATAGGAGGACATCGTGGCCGAGAGAAAACATATCTCACGGTAAGTCGAGACTTTTACTGGCCCCGCCAGTATCAGTTTGTGCGAAAGTATGTTCGCGCATGCGAAGTCTGCCAACGAGTGAAGTCAAGTCCTTCACTGCGTGCACCTTTACAGCCTCTACCGGTTCCGGCTGAGTGCTGGGAATCCATCTCAATGGATTTCGTCTTCGGGTTACCCAAAGACGCACGCGGGAATACGGGTATTCTCGTATTTGTTGACAGATTCAGCAAAATGGTACACCTTGTGGCTGTACCAGAGACAATCACGGCAAGTGGCTGTGCTTGTGTCTTTATTGACACCATCTTCCGACTTCATGGGTTGCCCCGTGAACTCGTATCAGACAGAGATTCACGATTCACTGCTGATTTCTGGCGTTCCGTGTTCAAATCACTCGGAACGCGCTTGAAGATGTCAACATCTGATCATCCAGAGTCAGATGGTCAGACGGAACGTGCCAATCGTGTCCTTGAAGAGATACTTCGAGGATACGTACACTCCTTTAAGAGTTGGAGTGAGTTTTTGCCGATGGTAGAGTTTGCCATCAACAACTCGGTGCATGCGTCCACGACACATACACCGTTTTACGTGAATGGCTTGCGCCATCCGCGTGTACCCACCTTACTAGAGTGTAACTCTGGTTTAAGGGGGGAGGGACTCGCGCGAGCAAAAACCGATTTGGTTCACGCTCATCACGCTCTGACGAAGAAGTCATTGCGTTTGATGCCGATATCGATAACATCGATATCGAAGAAGATGATGCCAGTGAGAGTGCGGAAGCCCTCACTGAAGACAATGATCCCAGTGAGAGTGCGGAAGCCCTCACTGAAGAAAAGGTTGTTGTCGCTGCAGTGCGCTCACAGCACACTGAAGCTAACGAGTCATCAGATGAGTTCATACTGGCTCGTGAAACGGTAGTCCGTTTTGTGCAAGACTCCATCGCCGAAGCGGTGGATAAGCAAAAAGCAAAACGCTGACAAGAATGGAAGGGCAAACACTCTTTTATTTAATAAAGGTGACTTAGTCCTACTGTCTACGGTTAATCTACCAAAACATGTAGTGACTAACTTGGGTAGCAGTAAACTACTACCCAAGTACATTGGCCCATTTCGTGTATTGCACCGCCTAGGCAATGCATACACGATCGAGTTACCACGTAAGATGCGAACGCATCCCACGTTTTACGTTGGTCGGCTTAAGCCGTACCATCAGTACGCTGCTTCTTCCGATGAAGAACGCCCTTGCGCTCAAGCATCTCGCAGAGAGCCTTGTGCTCCCGATGGTGGGCATCAACAAGGGTCTGAAGAGCAGTTATCTCAGCCCGAGACCGATCAACAATCCCACGAGCTACCCTTAGCTCGTCACGAAGAGATGTCAGAGATCTCTCGTTCTCAAGCTGAGCAAAGGCAAACTCAGCTCGATGCTTCGAGGCAGTGTCCACCATCTGGAGACGCCTATTACGCTCATGCTCGAGATCGTCGCGTAACCCTTGCGTTACGCGATCAAAGAAGCTCTCGGGAACACACCGATCCACATGATCGTGTGGAGAGCGTCTTTCCTCCTCCTCCACCTCCATTAGAGGACTCTCGCGGTGGCCAGCGCTATCTAGTAGAGCAGCTGTTGAACCACCGCGACGTGAACGGACGTCGGACGAGTTACCTCGTCCGGTGGCGCGGCTATCCCCCGTCCTGGGATTCTTGGGAGCCCCGCTCCCAATTGATGGTTGACGTACTGGGTCTGGTCGAGCAGTACGACGCGACACATCCTGTGCCGCAGAAGGACCGCCGGAGAAAGTCTTCCCGGCACGGTCGTAAAGGGATTTCAGGTTGTCAATCCCTTCGTACATCTCAGTAGAGACACGTACGCGCCACCACGGGCTGGTAAGGAGGTAAGCCTCCTTAGGTGCTCGTGCAGAGTTGTTCACACAACATGGGCACGAGTCTCCCCATGAGAGGCAGTGTAATCCCTTCTCCCTTGATAGACGATGCAGCTTGTAGCGTGTACCTGTCGGGGTTCGCTTTTCAAACTTATCACGAGCTTTGATAAGTTTGTCGTTCCAAGCGTCACGACCTACATCCTCAAGGTTATGGATGTAGGCGTTCCACGCCTGAAGCAGTGAGGGACCATCACGTTTGTGATTCCCACTGTACCATCGATATTTAAAGAAAGCATCGATGAAGAATTCATTCTCAGCGCGATAGTTTTTCGCGCTGGGGTCAAGGTGATGAATCCTTGACGAATCGAACAATCGTGTTCGATAACGATCACTCGTCGTCGCCGACAAGTGATCCATGACGGATTTAGGAGGCATCCATGCCTTCTTTTCTGGAGCGAGACGCAACACATTGCGGTCCCGCTCTTCCTGCGACGTGCCGACAGAAGTACTGGCACCTCGCTGTGAAGTGGTGTCCATTGGAGAAACGACACCACTATTAGCGCCCCGAGTCTCGCGACCTCGAGCGCCTTCGCTTCGGCGATGGTTCATCTGACTCATCAGATGAACCAAAGATGCTGCGACGCAAAGCATCGTCCATGCCACGCTTGGCAGGCGGCTTGGATTCAATTGCCGTCGATACGGATCCGTCATCCGTATCAGGAGAGTACGAGACACCGAGCTCGTACTCTGTGAAGACACGAGTGTCTTCATGACCAGCGCCTGCATCACCAGGTGATACAGGCTGAGTCGATTCAGCAACCGATGGGACATCAGTTGCTGTAGTTTCTGCTTCGGCGTCCGCACAGAGACGTGCAGACGCGCTCTCGGCGGCCTTGCTCGCGCATCGCATGGGCTTGTTTACCATGCGATGAGATGTTGGAAAGTGGACGCGGACCAACAAGTGCAAACCCCGTCCCAAATGATTTGGGACGAGTATCCATTCAGTCAATCAGTCACTAAAGTGACTGATGGTTAAGGGGGGGGGTGATGTAACGGGGTGAATCGTTACATAACAATTTATAAGAAATTGTTAATAGAATATAACTGTAAGAGTTATATTCTCAGAATATTGTCATAAGGACAATATTCTGTAGCACTTCCAAGTAGTTCCTAATTGGTTGATATAGGCCATTATATCAACCAACGAAGACGCGCCACGACAGACGCACGCAATGAGTGGTGAGCAGATAACTGATTTACACATTTGTATTTAGACATAGTTAGATGAAGATAAATAGTGATTTATTGCAGACATTAACTATTATAAATACAGTTCTACTTTTTACTCTAACCGAGTACTCGCTTCTTCTTACCGTCTTCCTCTGCACGTACGAGTGTACGTGAAGTTACGAGGCACCGCCTTATTCTGTCATCAGAATAAGTAGCTTGTACTGTCACCAGTACAAGCTTCAGGGTGCCCCGTTACATTTCCGCCGTATTTGTAATATCGGGACTTATTCCCTTTACTTCCTCTAGCTGGGGTTGCGCAACCACAGCGAGATCCTCTACGAAAGACTATCCGGTCGATCTAGGATTATCGTTTCGCTTAACATGAGCGATCGATGATTTCTCTTCTAGATGTTCCCCGCTAGGGATACATCTTTGTCCCAGCCCACCCGACTTATTCGAGTGGTGGACCTTCGGCGCAGCCTGTGTTTCCTCACAGCCGCCGGAACTTTGCTCCGAAGTGTAACCGTTTGGTACACCAAGGTTTTGTGCAGTCGTACTAACGACCGTACCACAAGTGAGGCCATCGCACTCACTCGTAGTACATCCACACGCTTGTGGACGCTCCAAAACATTCATCAGATGGCCATCTGATGAACAAGCGGCAGACATCGTTACTGTCCGATGTTGCCAGTTTACCCGTGGTTCGTACCTTCTGAGCCACGGTATTCCAAGGATGACATCAAATTTGTCATCCAAATCCAATACGATAAAGTCATCGTCATATTGGGTATCTTCTATCGTATAGTGGATCTTCACTATACCCTTCATGACGGTTACGGATGCGCCTGTCGCAAGACGTACCGTCATCCTCGTAGGAGGTGTGTCACATTCACTGAATTTAAAGTAACCATCTTCTAGCGATTGGCGTCGCACAAAATTGTTGGACGCCCCACAATCGACTAGAGCTCGAAGGGACAACTTATTCGTCACTTCGAGTTTCAAGGTAATGAGTGAGATCTCATTACCTAGAGCAGCAACGCACAACGTTTGTGTGTTGGGAGCAACCTTCATCAAGAGGCCTACAAATTCTCTTGACGTTGCTGGACCAGTAGGGTGCTCCGCACCTACTGATCCTGTCCGTTTTTTGACGGCCCATCCCGTTGTTGCGTCTTTGCACCAACAGCGGACCCTCGTCCCTGCCCCTTTCTCATGGGTGGACGGTCACTACGCCCAGTGTTGCGAGACACTGGACGAGGGGCACTAAACTCGTAAGCGTAGTGTCCTGTCTTCTGACATCTGTTGCATTTCTGCAACTTCTTGTAGTCTGTAGAGCGAGCCTTCTCGCTCTCTACATAACATAGTTCCATCGGCTCTGGACCTCCGTTGTCATATCGTCTCGGTTGACGATATGATGTCGAGCTGGCGCGAGCCTGTCTCAGACTGAAGTCTTCCTGTTCCGCAATGAAAATTGCTTGTTCTAGTGAATCTAGGTCAAGTCGGAACAGGTGAGTCTTGACGGGACCATCCGCAAGACCTTGCATGAACACCGAAACCAACGTGTGTTCATCAGCCAGGTTGGAACTTATACAACTCGTGAGATGTCGTATATGTTGCGCGTAAGCGTGCACATCACGCTTACCCTGCTTGAGCTTCAAGAGTTCGGTTCGAGCTCTGAACTCAGCTCTAGGCGGTTCAAACGTTTGTCTGAGCCGCGACTTGAAGACTTCCAACGACCCAAACGCATATGGGTCGTGCAACTTGAGCCCCAGTGCCCAAGTCTTGGCACGTCCTGCCAGATTTGACTGGGCAAATGCAACTTGCGTATCCCCGTCGTCGATGCGACGCGCCCTTATGGCGTCGTCTAATTCGACAAACCATCTCAAGAGGGAGTCTTCTTCGACCCCCCTATACTTGGAGATGTCAATCTTCAAGGTCTCGGGTCGACGCGAGTGCATCGACCCGCCAGCAGCAGCCTGCTGCTGTCTCAACAGTTCAAACTGTTGAGCACCCTGTTCTCTCAACAACTCTGCTTGTTGAGAACCTTGTTGGTGAAGCAAGGCTACTTTCTCGCGTTCGGCGTCAAGTTCATTTTGAATGAGCTTGGCGATAGTAGCATGTTGGGCATCTCTATTGAGAGCCTCTAGCATGACGCTAACAGCATGGATGCCCATGGTCGAACCCATTCGTTCAACCGCATCCCATTCGACATCGCTCAAATGAGAGTAGCCGTCACGCGTAGCGTGAAAGCTTTGGTCATCATCATCATCTAACATATTCATGTTAGATGTGAACGTGGTCCTCGGACGGACTCCGAAGTGCTACCAGGTGTAACGGGGCACCCTGAAGCTTGTACTGGTGACAGTACAAGCTACTTATTCTGATGACAGAATAAGGCGGTGCCTCGTAACTTCACGTTCACGGGTACGTGCAGAGGAAGACGGTAAGAAGAAGCGAGTACTTGGTTAAAGTAAAAAGTAGAACTGTATTTATAATAGTTAATGTCTGTTAATGAACCACTGTTTATTCTCATCTAACTATGTCTAAATACAAATGTGTATATCAACTATCTGCTCACCACTCATTGCGTGCGTCTGTCGTGGCGCGTCTTCGTTGGTTGATATAATGGCCTATATCAACCAATTAGGAACTACTCGTAAGTGCTACAGAATATTTGTCCTTATGACAATATTCTGAGAATATAACTCTTATAGTTATATTCTATTAACAATTTCTTATAAATTGTTATGTAACGATTCGCCCCGTTACAAATATAGTTTGCGGAATTTTAATCACATTCTACCAAAAGCATCGATTTTCCCTTGCAAAAGTGCTCAAAACGCGCATGGTCGGCATAGCACCAATTTCTATATACAAGGGGTGGTGAGTTGAGAAAAGATATTGTGTTGTTGGGAATAGCGTGTGGGCTTCTGATAGTTGTTGCAAGGTTGGCAGCCGTGGTGCCTGTGATTGTTGCAGCATCATGAGGTGCTACAGCACTCCAACCACGATGGCCGGTGCTGGGGTCAACACGCTCGAGCGGACCTTAAGTTGCAACAGGAATCTATATCACAGAAGTGGGGTACCATCGAAGGCACATCAAGACCTTGGATGACGAAGGTAAGACCGATGTGCGTACATGTGTAGAAGGAAGACAAGTAAGTAAAACGCGGCGGGTAGCGCCAAGTTAGCCATTCTCAAAACTACTTAGTCATCAATAAAGCCGAGTTTCTCACTTACCAGTTGTCACTCCTTTAACTGTGTATAGAAACTCGCAACATTAGTAGGTTGTTTAGGCGAATTCGTCAGCCTGGCTTTTATGTAGCGATCCACCAATAAATGGGTATTGGAAGCAAGTGTTCTTTTACCGTTTATAGACTGGGGGTTGCAAAAGCTGCTTATTTATATTGCTAAGTTCTAATTAACAACGATTATAATTTAACGTCTTGTTTTAGCCGCAAAGAAAGGTGAATATGTCTAAAGTTGAAAAGAGCAGTTATAAAAGTTTTTCATGATAAAGATATTCAGCCTAACGCCATGAGCTTACCTTATATATCCTTTTGAGTGTTTAGCAGATTTTTAAATTGGGTGCACACACACACCCATGGTTTTTTATGATCATGGGTGTGACCGACAATTGGTGGGCGCGGTGTCGCGAGCTTAGATTATTTGGCACCATAGTTTGCTATAACGTTATTTTTTACGGTGTAAGAGGCCTCTATGTTCAGTTTCAATCTGATCATAAACTGAGCAGACAAAATTTAAGTGGGCAGAGCGCACTCACGCCCAAGATTTTTAGCCAATGGACAGGCGCAGTATGCTCCAATTCTAAACTCAGCTGCTCAGTTATAAACTGCACACATTTCTCTTTGTTTCGATGTTTTTTCACTCTCCTGACACCTGTCTATCAATTTTTATCCAAGCAATTAATCTCTTTAGTCGATGTAGACTCGTACGTTGCTCCGCCGCAAATTGCTGATCCCCGCGATTGGCTGGATTTAATAACATTTGTTTTCTTTTTTAAAACGATAGAGTACGTTAAATCACCGCTTGTATTGCTGGCGGCAACCGCTGCTTTCTGAATAATTTTTTCGGCAAAGGTGACCGAAAAGGCGTTTCTGTATACTTTAACTCACAAACCTTAAAGAACTTTTTCAGACTTTTCGTTGACTTTCAGGTAAGAAACCTGCTAGCAAATAGTGCGTTGCAAATCCTCTATCACCCCCCAAACATTCGGAAATGTACTAGAAATGGGATACAGAGTTCGCTGCATATCGAAATCGTAAAAAATAGTATTCATTTAACTATTT